TGTTGTCGACATTACTGTATCTTCCAATGTGAAGACTAAAAGAAGGAAGAAATGGGTATGAAAGATAGTAGAAATCAATTGAGCAGCGAAAGTGGAATCCACATGTCACTGAAAGAGGAGAGGGTTTGGTTATGGGTAGTGCACACGTGTAAACAATAGTCCAAGTAAAAGTACCACTCACATTATATTTTGTACAACATTTAACATTTTAATGTGATGGATACTTTGTAACACAGGGTAAAGTTGAAAGGAAAACATAAAGCCACCACTACTACACTAATGTAAAAGTACATTGAATAAGTACTTAAGTTAGAATGTCTTCGTAGGTAATAATAGGCATTCCACATATCCAAAACAAAATGACATAAGTAGTACCTATTAAAATTGAACCTTTTTTTTTTATAAAAGTTAAAGTTGTATTCTTCAGCATTAAGGGTATGCTGGCTACCTCCCAAAAAGTTACAAGCTGACCTATTAAAATTGAACTTATACAATCAGATTCAACAGAAATACTTCCACTGTTCCATATCTTAAACGAAAACGGAAATTGATAAATGAAAGTAGCACTCACAATTGCAGCAGAAGTACAAAGGCAAACACCTTTTTGCTCATATAAATCCAATTTTGATTTGGTAATAATTGGATCTTCTCTAACGAAAAAACAATGAACCAAAGTGAGGTGACGCAATCACTCTCAAAAGGAAACATAGAGATGTCCATTGTTCTTGAATTTCTCATATGATGTCTAATATCTAGAGAAGTGACAGATGCTGAGAAGAGTCGGTTGCATTCTCTGTCCTAGTTAATAAATTCAATTTGTCATAATGTGATAAATGAATCATATATCGTGACTTGATAATAACACAACAGAGGAATTCCTGTAAAATCAAAGCTAAGAGAAACAATCAATATAAGTTACAAATCATAAACATTACACATATCATGTATCATACTACTAATTTTTGCTTCCATCATCTCATAATCATTCATGTACTATTATTTCTTACCCTATCACCAACCTATAACGCATAAACTTCAGAAGTGTAACTTTGACTCTTTGGTCCTATAACATATAAACTACACAAATAGCTATGTTCTATACAAAGAGCACAAAATAAGCACCAGACAAAATGAAAATCGTAAAGTATACTCATGGCAGAACTTCTTATTGTAGCTTAAAAAGAGTTGAATTAGGTTAACTATAGTATAGGTTGCATGTAAATTAGCACATGAAATGGAGGAGCCGAAATATAACATAAGTAAGTTGTTTCATCACTCCTACAGAACTCAAGTATCAAACTTACCAGTAAAGAGTGTAGCAATCAAACTGCTCTCTTTTCATGTGCCTTAGGTGACATCACCAGTTATAATGTACTGTATTGTTGAGAAGCTAAAAAGATTTTGAGATATTGCTAGAAAAAAATACTCTCAAATGAAGATTGAATATGACTTTATAAAAATTTCATCATGTTGTTAAAACATCGGTTAGGCTAGATAAAAATATTTGTCTATTTAAAAGACATGTAACTTGTAGCTAATATATTGTTAGAAACATGTGATAAAAGGTATCCTATTTGAGAAGAGATAGGGAGAAACATACATCAAATAATCGAAGGAATCCAAGGCGATTTATGTTGGCATTGCCAAAGAAAGCTTCAAACGAAATATTATAAATGTCTTAGAAAACACAAATGTATCGGGGAGATTCTTAAGAAAACTAAGCTCATACTGCAGAGGTGTTTTCATCAGCATGTTCTTTCCTCTATGTTATTGCTACATTTTTCACATCAACTCCACGAAAATTCAAATGACCTTAAATGCAATTATGGATGAATGATTTTGTAGAAATAAAAGCAGAGCATATCATATCACCTGTCAATGTGAAAATACTGAATCAAGGTGAATAAAAAGCAAATTAAAATGTAAGCTTTGTATCACCATAGAATACAAAAATGACCAACTATATCCAATTATGTCTTTCTAGTTTCTATTCTACAGAACATGAGCTTAACGTGGAAACTTGAGGGTAGAACTTCCACAGAGGACAAACAACATGGAAGCCCACTCACCGATCTTACACAACAATTCCGGACTTAAATAATAGTAAATTTTTGACCTTTTCTTCCCTTATTTATTTTTTCAACAATTGGAACATTTCAAGAGTTAATTGAATCAGTTAGAAAAGTTGCCAAGAATATGCTTAAAGATTCAA